CTGGGACCTGGATGGAGTAATGGTGAGCGTAATTCAATGAGGATTAAGTTTATAAAACACAGTGTATGAGAATGATTGTATGAAACACAATGTGAATGAAGGCAAGTGTGAAACACAGTTCATATGAATTTTGTATGCAAACCAATATAAAATAAAAATTTTAAAAAAAAAATTTCGAGAACGCTGACTGGTATGATAGTGACATCTACTGTAATAGCACATATTATTGCAGGAGTCTTGCCATCATTGGGAGGAATTGTAACAGTCAGAATTTCATTATTTGCCACTTTTGGGGGAAACGTTGTTGTTGTTTGGTGCCAGTGAGTTGACTACGATTCCTAGTAGTTCTCTGCACGGTGGACGTGAGCCTTGTCCTAGCCTGTGTTGGCTTCATTGTTTCTGTCATACTTGAGCCCATTGTTACTTTCACCATGACAGTCCCATTTCCTTGAGTATTTCCCTCTCCTCCTCTGAATCTCCACCTTTACAAGCACTGTGACTTTTCCCAGGGACCGGCCCTTCCTAACAGTGTGCCCAAGATATGTGAGACCCGTTTTCACCCTCCTTGCTTCAAAGGAGCACGCTGGTCACACTTTCTCCAAGACTTTTTTTTTCTTTTGGCAGTCTGTGGGCCATTCTCCAACACCACAACTGAAGGGCATTGATTCTTCTGTCATCTGTTCATCGTCCAACTTTCAGATGCCTAACAAGGAAATGAAAAGACCATGGATTGAATCAGGTGCACTCTAGTTAGTCCTGAGTCCTGTGGAGATCCTTGACAGCAGATTCTCCAGTGCCTCATGTCTTAATTTCTTGCCTGCTAGTACCAAGGGTATTGATTACAACACCTTGATGCAAATAAGATAAAATAATCAACAGTTTTTTTGCTGTGATGATATTGCTTATTGGCCCATGTTGTACATAGAGTAGGAACTGACCCATAGCAGACCCTTTGGCAGCTTTCCAGAGGCAGTTAATTGCATGGGAGGAGATTGCCTCTCATTTTTCTACAGAGCGGCTAGTGGCCTTGAACCACATGCCTTCAGAATTGCGGGGCCATAGGTAATAAACATATTATCCTTAATGGACCTACAAAGAATTATAATAAAACCTCAATCTACCAGAAACCACCATCACCTACAAGTGACTGCAGCTGTAGACTTGAGCTTGGTAGAGACTCTGAAGTTGGTGAGGAGTAGAGCAAAGTTTGAATCTTGTAGGATTGTAATGAGCTCCATCTCAGTGATATCTAACAGGCTAGCAACAGCTGCCACCTACAAGACTTAGTTCTCAGTTGTATTATGCTCTGTAACAGAAATACCACAAGTGGGTGACTTTAACAAACCAAAATTATTTTCTCAGTTTTGTTGTTGTCGTTATATGCTGTTGAGTAAGACTCAGCAACTCTGTGAACAATGGATTTGAAATCTGCCCTATTCTGTGCCATCCTTATCATTTCTGAGACCCTTGGGCCCATTGCCACCGTTACTGTGTCAGTCTATCTTGTTGAGAGTCTTCCTTTCCTCTGCTGACCCTCCAACTTGCCAAGTGTACTATCCTTCTCCAAAGACTGGCCTCTCCCAACAGCATGCCCAGAGTATGTGAGATGAAGTTTCACCAGCCTTGTTTCCAAGGAGCACTGTGGTTTCACTTTCTCCAAGACCTGCTTATTCTCTTGACTGCCCATGGGATAGTCAGTGCTCTCCACCAACACTGCAGCTCAAAGGCATTGATGATTCTTCCATAAACATTAGTCATTATTCAACTTTCAGATGCATGGCAAGCAATTGAGAAGACCATGACTTTGATCAGCACACCTTAGACTTTAAGCCAGCATCTTTGCTCTTTATACTAATCTGGAGAGGTCCCTGCCTGCTAGTACAAAAAGTTGTTGATTGTAGATCCAAAAAAGATGAAATCATTGACAACTTCAATCCCATCTCTTTCTATGATGTTGCTGACTATTGGCCCAATCGTGAGGACTTTTGTTTTCTTGATATTAAGGTATAATCACACTGAAGGCTTTAGTCCACAATCTACAAGTGCTTCAGGTCCTCCTCACTTTCAGCAAGCAAGGTGTGTCATTGATGTAACACAGGTTGATTAGTCTTTCTCTGCTTCTAATGCCACATTCTTCATAAAGTCTGGCTTCTCAACTTTTTGTTCAGCATACAGATTGAATGTTGTTGTTATGTGCCGTCGAGTCGCTTGCGACTCATAGCGACCCTATGTACACCAGCCCTAAACTCCGCTCTGTCCTGTGCCAATCGCACTGTCTCTGACACTCCCATCCCAATTATCCCAGTCACTGAATCAGTCCACCTCATAGAGGGCCTTCTCTCCTGCACTGTCCCTCCACCCTCCCAAGCATGATGTCCTTCTCCAAGGACCGGTCTCTCCTCACAACATGTCCAAAGTATGTTAGACGGAGCCTCAGAATCCTTGCCTCCAAAGAGCCACCCGGTTTGACCCTTTCTAGGACAAATCTGTTTGTTTTCCTAGCAGATTGAATAGGTATGGAGAAAGCATACATCCCTGACATACACGTTTCCTGAGTTCAAACCATGAAGTGTTCTCTTGTTCTCTTTGCACAACAGCCTCTTGATCTAGGTATAGATTTTGCATCTCACAGTTTTGGGGGCTAGAAATCTGAATTCAGGGCTCCACTCTAGGGAAAAGTGCTCTCTCTGTATGTTTGGAAAAGGATTCTCGTCTTGTTTCAACTTTTGCTGCTGGGTGACTATCACATGGTTTGATATCTATCTTCCCTATCTCAGTTTCTTGTTTGCTTGTTTAATCTCTCTTATTACCTATAAGAGATTGTTGTGCTTTGTTAATCCTGTCTCCTTAGCAAAAAACCCATTTCCAAATGGGATTATAACCATTTATAAGAGTTAGAATTTATAACACACATATTTTGAGAGGATACAGTTTAATCTGTAAGATTCTAACTCACTCTTCTAGTCAGTCCTGACTCAGCTGACCCTCCAGGTTTTTAAGGCTGTCAGTCAAGATGGCCTCATGATGTGCCTGGCAGTTAATACTTGTTGCTGACTGTGGTGGGTTTTTATCTGCAATGTGGATTTAGGGATAACAGTGAGCTAGATAGGCTTTTTTAAAAATATGGTAGTGTGAGGGTTGTAGTCCAAGAAACAAGCCATATTTAAAACGAACCTTTTTATAACTTTAAAGACTATAAAGAGACACATAGTATGAAATCTTGGATGGAAGAGGGGAGGGCAATGGGCTATCTATGTCTTTGCTCCTGTGAATAGTCAACCAGGAGATAGCTCTGAGCCCCAGAGTCCCAGATTAATAATCAGTCTGTGCACATGGCCGTGATCACGCCATGCCTTGTGAGGCTTCGTCAGCATTTGGCCTCCATGGTAGTCTCTTGGGCCAGACAGCGCCTGTTCAATAGTTTCAAGTGTTGTTATAGCTAGACTCCCAAGAACTAAGGTCAAATTTGGCTCTCCCCCCAGTGTTGTCACATCTTGCATAATGTTTCTGTTGAGGACATTTTGAAGTAGAACTGATTTTTTTTTTT